AGGAGGAGGAGGAGGAGGAGGAGGAGGAGGAGGAGGAGGAGGAGGAGGAGGAGGAGGAGGAGGAGGAGGAGTAGGAGGAGGAGGAGGAGGAGAAAGGGGCGGAGGAGGAGAGGAGGAGGAGGAGGAGGAGTGACGAGGAGGCGGAAGAGGAGGAGGAGGAGGAGGAGGCGGAGGAGAAGGAGGAGGAGGAGTAGGAGCAGGAGGAGGAGGGGTAGCAGGAGGAGGAGGAGGCGGAGGAGGAGGAGGAGGAGGAGGAGGAGGAGGAGGAGGAGGAGGAGGAGGAGGAGAGGGGGGGGAGAGAGGAGGAGGAGGATAAGAAGGAGGATGAGGAGGAGGAGGAGGAGGAGGATAGGGGGGAGAGAGGAGGAGTGTTGGGAGGAGGGGAGGAGGACCGCTGGGGGGGGGAAGGAAGAGGAGAAGGAGACGTTACGTGGAGTGGTCGCCAACAGCGATTACCAAAGATGTACACGTGTCTTGAGCCCGTGGAGCAACCACGACGGCCAGGACGACCACGCGCACGCGCCAGAGGACGAACTTCACGAAATGGCCAGTTTGCGAGCGCTGCTTCCCTGACTAGGGCCACAGGGGATTGAGACATGGCCCAACGGCCGCATACTCCACAATATCCCCTCCCCGAAATGTCACGCTTCAAAAGCAGGAGCAGCGCATGCAAGCCAAGTGGACATTTGGCAGCCAGGGCGAGCGAGCGAGCATGTGAAGACGCACGGCCCGCTGCCCGAAGACGCACGCGGCATGCACCTCAGGAAACAAGCTTCACCTGAGTGGCCGCACCTCATGTTTCTCTGCCGTTGGCGCACGTGGGATCACCAAACAGAACGTGACAGAGCGCGTCACAACATCGCATGCTTCCCACGCCAGGCGGAGTGCCCAACACCACGAGCAAGAGGATGAAGGCATGCAGCAATGATCGGAGGAGCACAGAGGAGAGTTGGTAGGTGGAGAGGGGGAAGGGAGGGTTGGGATGAAAACGATTGGGAGGCGGAGGAGGAGGAGGAGGAGGAGGAGGAGGAGGAGGAGGAGGAGGAGGAGGAGGAGGGGGAGGAGGAGGAGGGGGAGGAGGGGGGAGGAGGAGGAGGAGGAGGAGGGAGGAGGAGGAGGAGGAGGAGGAGGAGGAGGAGGAGGAGGAGGAGGAGGAGGAGGAGGGAGAAGGAGGAGGAGGAGGAGGAAGGCGAGGAGGAGGAGGAGGCGGAAGGGATGAAGATGAGGGGGGGGGGGGGTGTGTGAACGAGGAGGAGGAGGAGGAGGAGGAGGAGGAGGAGGAGGAGGAGGACGGTTGGAGGGCGTCGCCTCCGCAACAAGGGGGAGCGCCTGACTCGGTGCTGGACGCTGTGCTCCTGACGCCTGGCTCCCACGCGCACAAGGGGGGGGGCCCCTGTCAAAACGGGGGCCTCGCTCGAACGGCGGGCCCACGGGCCGCTAGGCTTTCAAGCGGTCGCACCCCATCGTGAACAACACTGCATGGTTTTGTTTTTTGTTTTTATCCGTATGTGAATGGGGCGGGTGTGCGATTGCAGAGTGCCTGGCGCGTCCTGGGTTTGCTCCAGGCCGTCTTCCGCTTCTCCTCCCGTTCCTCATCCATTTCCTCTTGGCCCTCTTGCTGAACAGCTCCTCTTTGGTTTCCCCGTCCAACTTCCCTTCCTCATGCTGTCTCACCAGATCCTTCTCATACTTATTCTTCTCCTTCCCCCCTTCCCCTCTCATCCTTCCGCACGCGTTCAGCCCTACCAGGGGGTCCGTTCCTTAACGCAATTGTGAATCTGAGCTGGCACTGATCCTCCTCCTCCTTCCCCGTCTGATTGTCGTATGTTGTCCTCGCCATCCTCTCATGCCCTTCCTTTGTCTCACTCCTGTTCCTGCCTCTCTTCACCATCTTTCTCCTCAGCCTCCTCCTTCTCCCACTCCGGTTTCCCCGTTGTTCTCTTCATCGCTTGGATGCATGGGGAGAAGGTCATGCCTCTCTCCTGTGGGGTATGCCTGCGCACGGGGTGCCCCGCCGTCGCTAGAGGCGAGGGAGGGAGGACAGGGATGGAGGAGGGGGCTCAGGAGGAGGAGGGTGAGTAGCACGATGACGATGCGGAGGAGAAGGATGAGGGTGGAATATCAGAAGGTCGAGGAAGATAAGGAGGAGGGGAGAGGGGGCGGACCGGGTGGATGAGGGGCAAGAAGACGCAATCTAGAAGGACGGGGGCGAAGACGAGCAAGAGGAGGAGGAGGAGGAGGAGGAGGAGGAGGAGGAGGAGGAGGAGGAGGAGGAGGAGGAGGCGGAAGAGAAGGAGGAGGAACAGAAGCAGCAGCCAGATGAGAAGGAGCAGCAGACGTAGGGGCATTCGCGGCACGAGCAGGGGTTCGGGGGATCCCGAAGGCGACGGCCACGTCGTCTTGCCTGTTCCTCACCGGAGCCGCGCAGAACTTCTTTATTCTGAAGCTGGCAGCGGGCGTGGGGATCGATGTGCCGTCGCCCTTCGCAACCTGGTTCAAGGCCGACATTCCACTTCATCTCTTGCTCTCTCTCTCTCTCTCACACACCATTGCTCTTGCTGTTCTCGTCGATCTGCCTGCCGCTGCAGCAACTTTGGGGCGAGGCCAGTACCTTTTCAGGTGCGTCGCGCCTGCTTGATACAATCTGCTTGCCCTCGCTTGGCTGTTTTTTGTTTGGCTTGCTGGGCGGGGGCCCTCTTACAGTGGGGGGCGCGCATCAAGAAACCATCTGCTTTTCGTCAGGGTATCCTGGGCTTCTTCGCTCCTCGCGCTGCGCGGTGACTTCCCGCAGCCGTTGAAGGAGCTGCTGCGTTCAGGGTGCTCCGGGTTTCCCCTCTGGTGTACCTCGCGCGCGGGTTCTCAGGTTTGGGCTTCTTGCGAGGGCTTCTCGCGGCCGCGCCCACACTGTACAGTGCCGTTTTTAGTACATGCTCCGCGTGCGGATCGTATATTAAGAATGCAGGGATTTGGTATTAAAACAACGATGAGTTCGTGCATGAATCTAGTCATAATTTGATCATGCATTAAAATCCTATATGCTTTAAATCAAGGGGATAATAAACGCACCTACCCTGGTTTACGAGGCGCTGTGCGCTGAAACTCCTGTGGGCTGACAGGGTAAGCCCTGCGTGATGTGCCGCATCCTGGAGGCTCTGGGGTTTGGGGGTTCCCAGGAGGTTTACAGACCACGCACTTGTAACCCAGGGTAGGGTGTTTTTTTATCCCTCAATAAAAATCCGATGTATTAAAAGCTGCCCTGTACTCTTTTTACCTTTGTTTTTACCTCTGCTGTTGCTTTTGCTTGGCCCCCAGGGGACTGGGGGAACCGCCCGGGGCGATTTCTACTGCCCGGCCCCTTTAAGCCAAGAGAGCAAGAAGAGCCTAGGTATTGACAAATGCAGGGGTTTGGTATTAAAAACAACGATTTGTTCGTGCAAACTATATTTAAGAAAATCCTATGTATCAAACGCTGCCCTGCACTCGCGCGCCGCGTGCGCTCTCGAGGCGACGGCGGGCGCGCGCGAGTGCCGACCCCCCCCCCCGCCCGTGAAAAGCAAGAGCGTCTCCCGGGCAGCGGCGCCCGCCTCGCCGAGGGCGCTCCGCGGGCCGCCCTGGCTGTCCCGTTGAGGGGGGGGAGGACAGGAAGAAGAGGTGGGAGGAGGAGGAGGACGAGGAGGACAGGAAGAGGAGGAGGGAGGAGGAGGAGGAGGAGGAGGAGGAGAATCACGAGGAGGAGGAGGAGGAGGAGGAGGAGGAGGAAGGAAGGAGGAGGAGGAGGAGGAGAAGAAGAAAGGGAGGAGGAGGAGGAGGAGGAGGAGGAGAAGGAGGAAGGATCCCGTTGGGGGGGGGGCTTGGCATCGCTCGGACGTGTGCATTTTTTTCTCTGCTGGGGCCATCGAGGAGCATCCTTGATCACTTGGCGAAAAAACCACGCACGAAACCGAAAAAAACACAGGGAATGGACGTCCGAGCGATGGCGAGGGGGGGCAGGATCTGTCCCCCGAGTTCCGGCCACGTTTAAGTCGGGTCTGTCCCCCTACAGTGGGATTTTCAAGAAAAATCAAAAGTATCCCAAAAATAGTCAAAGCATAGTCCAAAAATAGTCTGGGGACTACTTTTCTAATAAATTCTTACCTTTGGGGGGCATTCTTGAGGTACTTTTTATTTTTCGTCGAAAATCCCCCTGTAGGGGGACACGCCCGACATAAGGCCACGTTCGCAGGACAGCCTGCGTTAAAGCGACCGGCACATGTCCTCAGAACAGGGGAGCGAAGAATGAAATAGACACAAAAACTCGGAGGTCCGCGCGGAGTTCTCGGATCCGCGCTGGAAGCCCCTGACGGCGCCTCTGGCGCCGCCCCTGGCGCGCTCCGCGCGCCAGGGAGGGGGGTCCAGCGCCGATCCGCGAAATCCGCGCGGACCTCCGCGTTTTTTTTATGTTTATGTCGTCATTCGTTCCCCTACAGAAGCATTGGACATTTTCATGCCCTGGCGGGGTGGCAGATTGCAGGCATTCTGTGTCACTGACTCGGTGCGTCAGGGGGATGGGGGTTCAATTGCCCGCAGGATCCCCCAGGCACTACGCTCGCACCTCTTCCCCCGCCTTTCCTCCTATCCGTTGCCTTTGGCCCAAGCCGTGCAGCCACATAATTGGGCATCAAGCCCTCCCTTGCCCACCCTTGGTGCACGGCTTGGGTCTCAGGGGCAACATTTACCTGTTCGGCTGGGTCGCAAGTCTGCCTTTGCAGTCTGGGCCGTGCTGGCCGGTTTTCTGGGCCAGGGTCGTCTTCGTGACTGTGTGCGGTGGCCTGCCGCTGGGTCCCATAGAACCTTACAGCTACTTTCGGGTCGGGTGCGGCCACTGCCGCGTGCCTGCTTCGGCGATTCGCGGGGGCTGGCGTTTGTGTTCACCGATGGTTTCGACTTCTGCCGTATCGAGGAACAGGATGACGCGGAGGAGGGGGGGGAGGAGCAGGAGGAGGAGGAGGAGGAGGAGGTGGAGGAAGAAGAGGGCGAGGAGGAGGAGAAGGAGGAGAAGGAGGAGGGGGGAGGAGGTGGAGGAGGAGGAGGAGGAGAAGGACGAGGGGGAGGAGCAGGAGGAGAAGCAGGAGGAGGGGGAGGAGCAGGATGAGGAGGAGGAGAAATAGGGAGGGAATGATGAGGGGGCGGATGAGGCTGGGGGGGGTCCGAGGCTTGGCTCTGCACAGGTCCACCGCCCAGAGGTATCGATCCCCCTGGCCGTCGGCAGGAGGGGATAGTCATGTGAATACATGCCAGTTTCCCTGTGATCCTGGAGCGTCAGTTCCCCGGAAGGTGGGCGCGTATGAAAGACACGCTCGCAGTGGTGGAGGAGGGCGGAGGCGGATTTTGTCAGAGGGAGGAGGAGGAGGAGGAGGAGGAGGAGGAGGAGGAGGAGGAGAGGAGGAGAGAAGAAAGGAGGGAGGAAGGAGGGGAAGGAGCGAGGATGAGGAGGAGACAATAGGTAGAGGGATGAAGAGGGGATGAGGAGGATGAGGAGGAGGAGGAGGAGGAGGAGAGGAAGAGGGCGAGGAGGAGGAGGAGGAGGAGGAGGACGGCGACGATGAGGAGGAGGAGGAGGAGGAGGAGGAGGAGGAGGAGGAGGAGGAGGAGGAGGAGGAGGAGGAGGAGGAGGAGGAGGAGGAGGAGGAGGAGGAGGAGGAGGAGGAGGAGGAGGAGGAGGAGGGGGAGGGATGGAGGGAGGGAGGGAGGGAGGGAAGGAGGGAGGGAGGAAGGGGGGAGGAGGAGGAGGAGGAGGAGGAGGAGGAGGAGGAGGAGGAGGAGGAGGAGGAGGAGGAGGAGGAGGAGGAGGAGGAGGAGGAGGAGGGGAGGAGGGGGAGGACGAGGAGGAGGAGGAGGAGGAGGAGGAGGGAGGGAGGAGGAGGAGCGGAGGAGGAGGAGGCGGAGGAGGAGGAGGAGGGGGAGGAGGAAGAGGGGGAGAGGAGGAGGAGGAGGAGGAGGAGGAGGAGGAGGAGGAGGAGGAGGAGGGGGAGGAGGAGGAAGAGGAGGAGGAGGAGGAGGAGGAGGAGGAGGATGCGGAGGAGGAGGAGGAGGACTAGGAGGGAGGAGGGAGGAGGACGGAGGAGGGGTTTTGACAGGATCCCGAGATGATCGCCTCCACGACTTGGGCGACAGTCTACTGCAGCCCTCGAGCACCCACGCAGCCGCCTCGAAACGGTGACTTACACGTGCACCAGGAGGCGACGCAACAGGAGGAGGAGCGGAAGAAGTGGTGGCAGGTCTGGCAAGAGCAGGCCCCGCTCCAGTGGCCTTGTCTGGGCGATTCGCCCGCCGGGCCCGCTGTGGCCGAGCTCGTGCGTGCCTCAAGAGTCCCAAGGTGAGGCTCGCCTCTGCTGCTGCCGCCTCCTGCCTTGGAGACGTCCTGCGGCACCGTGCATCACATTTAGCATAAGCGAGGGTTGCCGGTTGTGCGGGATTGTTGGCAAAGAACCATAGACACCCTCAGAAGTAGACTTCCCGGAACCACCCTCCGCCTTCCTCTGACCAGTGGGGTCTGCAGCGTGCTGCGTCCTTCTCGGCCGTAGGAATCTTCAAAAAGAGTCAAAAAGTAGTCCGGGGACGATTTTTTGGGGGCATGTTGTGCCCATGTGGGTGGGCATGTTTGGAGTATTTGTTATCTTGCGCCCAGGATCCCCCTGTAGGGGGGACAGACCCGACCTAACGCTACCCGCGGGCGTCGAGCAGCAGCTCTCCAGGCAGGCCGCGCCCTCTGCCCGGGCAGGGCGCGGCTCACTCACCAGTTGGGGGGGGGGAGGTGCGACCTCGCCCCGGGCTGCGTCGCGCGGTGGGCCTGGCCTCGCTCGGACGTGTGCAATTGTTTTCTTCGGCGAGGGCCCTCGAGGAGCATCCTCGATCATGTGGCGAGCAAGCCGCGCACGAAACTGCAAAAAGCACAGGGCATGGGCGTCCGAGCGACGGCAAGTGGGGGCATTCGTGAAGGAGCGTGCCCAGGATCCTTCAGACCCTGGAGGGTTCCTCATCTGATGAGGGCGGCGGTGATATCCGTGGCCGATCCACTGTTGGCCTCCCATTGGCTTCCTGACCTCTGGGTCCCTTTTCGAGGGTTTCCTTATCCAATGCCATCGCCGTATCTTTGCTTGTGTGCAGTGTCGCTGGAGACGTCCTCTCCTTCGTTTGTGGCAGGCGGCCAACTACAGGTTTTGTTGTGCACTCGCGGGAAAGCCTCGGAGAAGGACGTGTAGGTTCGAGCGGTTTTGCCCGAGCATCCCGTGCAAAAGGACGGGTCGTGTGCCACTTTGCTCTCTGATCTCCAGAGGGCTGTCGAGTTAGTTCAGCATCACGAATTCGCTTCTACGGCGGAAGCCGCCGACTTTCCCATGTGGTGCATTTCCTGGTGTAGGTGTACCGCGCGCCACGCATCATCGATATCGGTAGCGAGCTTGAGAAGGTGATGCAGTTTGAGCAGACGATTGTATCAACATGTGTTTTTGCCACGTATAC